GCAGCTTTATTCATTAACCAATAAAAGCAACACTTATACAGAAGAACATTCCACATCATCTCCCCTTTTCTGTCTAATTAAAAAGGTTTTTAACTTTAACATAGTAAAATTACATATACAAAACAGCTATCAAACAAGAATTATAGTTACAATATTTAGTCCACTTATATTTGGCAAATTAAGGAAAATACACTATCATCTATCCTATCTTTGTGAGTCTAAAGTTTATATCTAATTTATCTTTTATCATAACTAAGGAAAATTATAACTATCTGTCTTCAGCTCTTCAAAGACCCCAGTTGGATATACTATTACCTAAGTAAAGAGGAAGTGCATTGTAAGCAACTTCCAAAACACTAGAATTGACAGAGACATCTCGATGCCTCGATAGGCAACCAGAGTTCTTCTGTACCATTGGAGCATCCTCCTTCAGCCTATGGGCCCATAGTATCCAGCAGACTTTTCCGCGAAGCAGGAAATTTGAGGATGTATTCTGCCCATATTGCCAGTTTGTTAGTCATGTTCTTCTGTTTCCTGCAGAATATCTGGCAGTTATCTCATGAAGCAGGAACCCTAAAGAACTGTCTCACCTTTAGGCAATTTCAGCAACCATTTTTCTGTGTGCCCTGCATGTTCGGTTCATATAGCATACCATCAAGCAGTCCAGGCAAGAGCAGTTTCTTGCCCAAATGACTAGCCTTGTCACATTGAAGGCAAATTCTAAAATGAATTTCTTCAATGCCCATCAACTTCTCTGAAGTAATTGGTGCTGCCAGAAGCAGACATGTCTCACTGTTGAGAAAAGTCTTAAGTTGTTAAAACATTTTAGATGCCATATTCTGTAGGTCTTTGAAAGGTTTAAAGAATATCTATCTAACTGAAAATTTTTTCTGTATGTCTAGAAAACCTAACATGACTGCAAGTTTGACTCTTATAAATGACTATTCTATAATTTTTAATTATATATTATATTTTTAAATGAGACATATAAACATAATACCTTAAACAAGAGCAGAAATATATATATATGTATATATAACAAAATTGACCTTAATTTATTCTATCAATAAATCAAAGACCATACCAATTTTTTAGTATTGATTTCTATATTATATCCCACCTTAAATGAAAACAAACATTTATAAAAAATCATTTTGGGAAATTGGGCATAGTTTTCTCCAAACTGCTTCCTGCTGTTTGGTGGGTGAAGTATTTTTAGGCTTCATGGAGACCTTTAAGGGGGTCTTGTTCCATCAAACCATATTAACTTGGAAAGAATCCACAGGTTCTCGTCTTCTGTGGAAACAAAAGCAGAACATCTTATCCAAAGCAACATATCCTGAGACCCAAATTTTGAAGTCAAGATACCTTTTAAAATATATATGCTGGTTTGGCTTAGCATATTGAACAATGAAATTAAATATATCTTTATAGTTAGCTCTTTCACGGGCAAAAAATTCAAAGAAAACACAATAACATACATAATCTAGACTGTATATTTTCTATCTTTATGTGACTTATTTTTCTATACCTCTTTAATCCATGACTGTACTCTTTTATATTATTTTTACTATCTTTTTAAAGATTAGTTTTATTTTTAAAACTATTTGCTTCTTTTTATAACTGTACTCTTTTTCCTGTCTCTCCCAAGCCTACATAAATTTTTTGAACACAGTGTGACCCATTCAGAGGTTTATTTTTGTCTAAATCTGCCTTTATTGTGTATATCTAATCATTTTCTGACCAGGAGTGCCATTTTTTCCCTAAACATTAAGCAAGTGTGGCTAGGACCAACTCTGTGGCCCTGCCTGTTGGTTCTGCCCCATCCAACATGGCAGAAATATGTTCACCAACTCTGTGAGTCATGCTCACCACCCCAGCTCTAGGAAGGCAGTGTGTCTGTGCGCCATTAGGTAATTTGTAGCACACTACTCATAAACCCATTTAAATGCAGGTCCTCCCAAAAGAGTCAGGTTTTTTTAGTATTTATTTATTATGTATACAATATTCTGTCTGTGTGTATGCCTGCAGGCCAGAAGAGGGCACCAGACCCCATTACAGATGGTTGTGAGCCCCCATGTGGTTGCTAGGAATTGAACTCAGGACCTTTGGAAGAGCAGGCAGTGCTCTTAACCTCTGAGCCATCTCTCCAGCCCTTAAGAGTTAGAGTTTTTACTGCCAGCATGTACCAAAAAGCCATCTCTTAAAGAAGCTATGCAGTGTTTGCTGCTAATGCTGAGTCAGGAAGCCTTCTCTTAAATGAGCCACGCCTCTGCTCACCACCAGCAAACAGAACCTATCTGAAAAAAAAGAAAAATGCAACTACCAAGAAGCTCCAATTGACTCTCGATTTTTGTGGATCTAGAAGCCTTTTTTTTAATTAAGCTTTCTGAGGCTTTATGTGGATGTACATTGCTGAACATTGGGTGCCATTTTGTTAGCAGAAGCTGCTTGCTCATTTCCCAGCCACCCAGACCCGAATAATCACAGAGATACTATATTAATTATAACACTATTTGGCCAATGTCTCATGCATATTTCTAACTAGCTTTTACATCTTAAATTAACCCATTTTTATGAATCTGTGTATTGTCACAAGACTGTGATCTACCTGTAAGTTTCTGGCATTTCGGCATCTTTCTCCTTCAGCAGCTACATGGCATCTCTTTGACTCCACCTACTCTCTCTACATCTCTCTTCCAGCCTGGCTATATTCTGCCCTGCTATACACCAAAGCAGGTTTATTCATTAAACAATAAAAGCAACACATGTACAGAAGGACATCCCACATTATTCCTGAAAACACTAGAACTAAAAGAAGCAAACTCACCCAGGAGGACTAGACAGCAGGAAATAATCGAATTGAGAGCAGAATTCAACAATACAGAAACAAAACAATACTAAGAAACAATGAGACAAAGAGTTGGTTCTTTGAGAAAATCAACAAAATAGACAAACCTTTATCGAAGCTAACCAAAAGGCAGAGAAAAATATCCAAATTAACAAAATCAGAAACAAAAAAGGAGACATAACAACAGACACAGAGGATATCCAGAGAATCATCAGGTCATACTTTGAAAACCCATACCCCTCAAAATTGGAAGTTAAAGGAAATGAACAATTTTCTGGATAAATATCACTTACCAAAATTAAATCAAGACCAGATAAACAAATTAAATAGGCCTATAACTGCTATAGAAATAGAAACAGTCATCAAAAGTCTCCTAGCCAAAAAAATCCCAGAACCAGATGGTTTCAGTGCAGAATTCTACAAGATTTTCAGAGAACAAATACCAATACTCCTCAAATCAGCTTCTTCATTAACCAATGGTAATAAAACATTCACAGCATACAAAAGGGCATCCCTCATCACAGGTAGACGAATAAGGTGAAAAGTGTTAGAGTCAGTGCGACACAGCTCAGCAGTGAATACAAACAAGTCACATGCATGAATCTTGAGATAACCATGCTGAAAGAAAAAAGGCACATACAGAACAATATGCAGTGTTCAGTTACACTTGAAAACAAGGTGAAATTAATTTAGAGAAAAAAAGCAGAATTGCTTCCATGGACATTCAGGAAGGACAGGCTGACAACAGAGAGAAAAAAATTTCAAGTGTACAAGGCTAGGATCTGGTTTGTTTGTTTGTTTGATTGGTGGTTGGTTGTTGTTGTTGTTGTTTTTCAAGACAGGGTTTCTCTGTAGCTTTGGAGCCTGTCCTGAAACTAGTTCTTGTAGACCAAGCTTGCCTCAAACTCACAGAGATCTGCCTGCCTCTGCCTCCCAAGTGCTGGGATTAAAGATGTGTGCCACCACTGCCTGACCAGAATCTGGGTTTTAAAGTATGTGAATTTTTTCTTTTTTCTTTTCTTTTTTTCTTTTGGTTTTTCGAGACAGGGTTTTTTTGTGGTTTTGGAGCCTGTCCTGGAACTAGCTCTTGTAGACCAGGCTGGTCTCGAACTCACAGAGATCCGCCTGCCTCTGCCTCCCAAGTGCTGGGATTAAAGGCATGCGCCACCACCGCCCGGCTGTCAATTTTTTCTAAAGCACTGTCCAGAGTAACAAGCAGGGAGCACCCCAGAGTGCTGCTCCTCCTAGAGGCTGAGTGTTCCTTACATGGAAGTTTGTTGCTCTTATCTTTGTTGGATTATGTTCATTTCTGCATGAAAGAAGTGCAGGTGTTGGGCAAAGGAGGGATTTCGGAGTGTGAGAATTGGGCCTGGCTCTGTGCCACAGGGTTTTCATTGGCAGACATAAAAGGTGAAAGTGATGTCAAGCTTTCAATTGTTTCCCTGAAGCCAGGAGGGCATGGCACACAGGGGAGGGAGGACTCTAGAGAACCCAGCATAAGCCATTTGCCTAACTAAACATAAAAGGGTGCCAAGTGTAGATTGATGATCTCTGACTTAATGTTAGCAGTTTATAAATTACTAACAAGTCATTTTTTAAAGAAAGTCCTGATGATTTGTTTCCTAATTGATTTAAGCCATAGTTAGAGACTGTGTGTACATCTCACTTCTTTTCAATCCTTTCTTTTCATTTGCTTCCCGCATGAAGACTGGTACAAATGGCTCTGGAAGGTAGGTAGGCTACTTAACAGACTCAGTTTTAAGAAACCGTTAACAGTTTTATAGTTAACAAAAATATAAGTATTTCAACATGTTACAAATAAATAAAAGGCAGAACATATGTAGAAGAGTGGCGTTGTATGTGATCGCATCTGAATGTGGCTGTAAAGTGTCAGCGGTGTAAGAAACATGTCCAAATGGAAACCATCCGAAAGGAGTGAAAGGCAGACTGCAGCTCGTCTGCTGGAGGAGCTGCTGCTAAGCAGAGAACTGTGGCCCTGGCGGCCTTTCTGCCTGCTTAATCCTGCAGTCTTGCATGGCCTACAGCCAGCCGCAGACAGCTAGATGCCCTGTAACAGCTAAGCATCTGTCTTCAGGTTACTTCAGATCTCCATTAGACAGCCATGTAAATGTGTCTGTAATCTTTTCAGTTGCAGAAGATCATAAGTAAGCAAGATGACTTCAAGACAGTGAAGACGAATGAGGCCGAATCCCAGGTATGTAAGGAAATGCTTCCAAACACATGGTGTTGGTAAAATCTGAACTCTGGTCCTCACACTGTGTGGTAAGTGCTCTACACACTAAGCTGTCTCCATAGCTCATTATCTCATCTCATTGTGGCTTCAAGGTGCATTGTTGTATGGCTACAATATTTATGCTGTCATTCCCCTTTGGGGAAGTATTTAACATACATCTGTCTTTCAGAGTTCATAAGGCTGCAGGGCATAATCCTAGGATTATGCTATTCTATAGGCATGTGACTATATCTTAGGGATAACTGACCACAAATTCAGTTGCTGGATCCGAGCATGTGACTGTTGAGTAGGTTAACAGACTGACCGGTATTAACCAGTATTCGTGTGGGACACTACTTTCCATTCCCACCAGTGGTACATACCAATACATTTCAGCTGACTATCATCTGGTCATTGTAAGTCCATCTTACAAGATTTTCTTAAACATCTGAATCACTCTACTTTAGAACATATCTATTTCAAATGTATAAGTTTTTAAAAATCACAGCCTCTGCCAAGAGCACATCTGTATCCCAGCACTCAGGAGGCAGAGACAGACAGATCTCTGTGAGTTCAAGGCCAGCCAGAGCTACACAAAGACACCCTCTCAAAAACCAAATACAACCTCCCCTCCTGACATCACAGCAGGGGAGGATAACCTGATGCCAAGTTGTCTTCTTAGGAAGAAAATTATTTTTATTTAGTCCAGACTAGAGAATTGCTCAGTTGGTAAAGCATTTGTATTGAAAGCCCAAGGACATAAACTCAATCCCCAGAGCCCACATAGAAGCTAGATTTGGTAGTGTATGCTTGTAATCCCAATACTGGGAAAGTGGACAGGAGTATCCTTGGGGTCCCCTGGCAAGCTACCTAACCTAACCTAGTTGGTAAGCTTTAGGCCAGTGAGAGACCTGATTCCCAAACAAGTGTTCCTATTCCTGAGGGTGACACCTAGGGTTGTCTTCTGGCCTACACACATACAAACACTGTTAAAAACAACAGTAATTAGGAGCTGGGGAAATGTCTCAGCGTCTAAAGCATTTGCGTGGAAGCATGAGAGCTCAACTCATGTATACTGTGTGGCTGGAAGAGCCACAGTGACTGCAGCTTTGCAGATACAGGGCTCTGGCAGGGCAGGGCCAGTTAGAGACCCTGCCTCTCTGCAGTGGCGAGCAGTCCAAAGGAACTGCATCAGTCTTGAGCCTCCACTTGTGTGCACCAGCAAAAACACCTGTGCCCACACATGTGAATGAGCGCATACACATGCACACCACATATACACAATGGCAGGTGTGTATTAGTATGTGAATGAGAAATTCCCTGAAACAAAAATGAAAACTTAGAAATATTTGTTTTCTTAGAGCAAAGTATGTTTAAATTGTTAAAACAGTGCAGTACTCCTTAAATCTCAGAATCTGGGGCTCTGAGGTAGAGTTACAACTTCAAGGCCAAGTTGAGCTATGGTGAGATCTTTACCTCAAGAAAAAGGAAGAGTGGGGCTCAGAGTATTGACTGAGCTTCCAGAGGTCCTGAGTTCAATTTCCGGCACCCACGTGGCAGCTCACAGCTGTCTATAAATCTGGGCCTGTGGGATCCAGTACACAGACATCCATGTAGACCAAACGCCCACATACATAAATAGATCTTTAAAGAGGGGAAACAGGCAGGGAGACCCACAGTGCACTCCGCGGTGGTGCTTACAGAGTGTCCACAGAGTCCTGAGCTCAGTTCCAGCACCACTTAAGTGAAGCAGATGTGCAGCCCAGTCTAGGAGGGCATGGTCCTCCTTGCTACTGGAAACCTGTCTCAAAAGAATAAGAGTTGAAGTGGACTTGTAAGGTAAAATCAGAATCTCTTAACCAGGGAATTTAGAGCAAATGTGGTGTGCAACTCTAACTTCATTTAATTTATGCTCAGAGCAAGACTTAAATCCAAATCTAATTAGAAAAACAAAATTCCCAGGGAATTAAGGGGAAAAGTTGGTAAATATAATCAAAATGCATTGTATGAAATTCTTAAAGAATTAGTAAAAATATTTTAGCTACCATGAATTTTACTCATGCTTTGACATTTGGTCTGATGTTTGGTAAATGTCAAAAGTAGAAGCTGAGCTTAAATTTGGGGACATCTGGCTATTGAGTTGGTTTGTCCCCTCGTTCTGTAATCCTGAGGCAGACACCCTCTACACTTCACAAGATACGTAGAGCCTTAGGACTGTGGAAATCTGAATCTAAAAATAAAAAATTCTAGCCAAACTGAGTGGAAGAGAGAATGAAGACATTCTTTCACAGGTAATGGTGTCTGTGGGCCCAGGGCAGACAGGGCCTTTGGCTAAGAGTGCCAGGGAGCTGCGGGCCTCCAGTTGTTTGAGTCACGCAGCCCCTGTTTTAAATAGCCAGGTTCTGGAGAAAAGTAAGTCTGTGATGCTGACTGTAGTTCAGTAATGGCCCTGTCTGGACTGCCACTCTGTGCAAGGAGAAGTCAGCAGTGAGGACAGAAGTGTAGGGTGGAGCTGGAAGGATCACTGGGCGCTGGACTCCAGGCCAGTGTGGTGTGGGCTGCAGAGAGCCTCTGGGTGGCAGTGTCAGGGCACTTCAGGGAGCGCTAGGAGGGACTTGGTCCACTAGTCCAGCGCGGCAGCACGCACCTGTAGCCCCAGCTGACCTGAAAGAGAACGAGGAGACCCACCCTGGACTCTCTAGACTTTCAACTTTTCCCCATTCAGTGTAGTTTCAGCTGTAGGTTTGTCCTGTTAGGGCGTGTCCCTTCTGTTCTTAGATTCTGTTGAGTTTCATCACAGGATGGTAGTGGAAGTTGGGGGGAGTCCTCTTAGCCAAGGTCGTAGGCAGGAGTGACTGCCCTCATTGCCTTCACGTCCTACAGGACACGCTCGTGGACACTTCCCTAAGCTCATACCCACAGATTCCTTTCTGTGCTTCTTTATAGGAACCAGCAGTGAAAGAGTCTGGAATTAACACAACCCTTCAAGTGCGTTTCTTTGGGAAAAGAGGAGAAAAAAAACTTCATTATAAAGAATTTCGAAGGTAAACATAAAATTTGGGGTAATGTTATATGTAAGAAATGAAGAAACTATCCGGGTGGTGGTGACACATACCTTTAATTCCAGCCCTCAGGAGGAATACACAGGCAGATCTCTGTGAGTTTGAGGCCAAGCTTGCCTACAAAATGAGTTCCAGGATAGTCAGGGATACACAAAGAAACCCTGTCTCAAAAAGCTAAGAAGGGAGGGAGAGAGAGAGGAAGAGACTGAATATCCTCATTTTCTAGAACTGCAGACTGTAAGGCAGCAGTTGTTGGCTTCTGACCCCTTTGGCAAACCTGTCTCCAATACTTACATTGTGATTCATAGCAGTAGTAAAATCACAATTATGAAGTAGCAATGAAATAATGTTGTGATTGGGGTCACCACAATATGAAGAACTATATTAAAGGGTCTTAGGAAAGTTGAGAATCCCTGCTCTACTCTAAACCTAGATACTCTTTATGGTTCTTTAAGGTACTTATCACTGAGAATTTAACCTATAAAACATAAAGTAACTATTCTTAAATATTCTAGCCCATTTTTTAAAAATAATGTCTGTTTTATAAAATGTAATAGTTATTTTTTGTTACTTGATATTGGCAAATAAGAGACATGCCCCAAGCATCACTTTGGATTTTTTGTTTTGGTTTTTTGAGACAGGTTTCTTTGTGTGCTTTTGGCTGTCACTCTGTAGACCAGGATGGCCTCGAATTCACAGAGATCGCCTGCCTCTGCCTCCTGGGTGCTGGGATTAAAGGTGTGTGCCACCACCACCCAGCAATTTTGTTCTTAACACTAAACAAGCAGCCCAGTTTAACACAAAATAAGGTCATGCACTGTGTTCCCGAGTGCAGCTCTGCTGGGACCAGCACTGGCTCATCTCAGCCGGAGTTACTGTGCACTGAGGTCCTGAGGTGTGGACACTCAGCTCTTGTCTATACAGGCCTCTTCTGCAGAGGCCCAGCAGTAAATCTGCACGACCAACAGCTGTATTGTGAAAATAGCCAGACAGTGCGGTAGGAAGCAGACGGTTCCGTGTCTCAGATAAAGCATCATGCCAACATACTTCCCTGAACTTATTTCTTCGTAAAATTAGAGTATCTGGTTATTGTAATCCTTAACACAGTGGAGCCCTGCTTACCTCCTCCCTGGGCCTCCCTGGAGCACTCTCTGGAACACGGTTTCTAAACAGGTACTAGAAAGCAGATCAGAATACTAGAAAAATCCTGATATGGAAGGCAGGGGGCCTGCATCTTCCTTGGCTCCCTGCATTTCTGCTAAGATTTGCTAAGTCTATATATACATATACACCATGTGCTGTTGTGTCTCAAACACTAAGCATAATCCTTTTTACAGGCTATGTGGGAAACATCATGCCATTCTGATGCATTGCTCTGAATGCTTCTGTCAATGAAGAGATTTTACCCCATGTGGGAAGTTAGGAGTAGATTAAAGGGAGACCCAGGGAAAGGCGTGTAGCCCATGAAGATAGATGGGCTCTTATGTACGTTTATCAGGTGGTTTTCTTTTTAAAAGGCCCTTGGCATTGCAAAGAAGCTGCAGTGTGAAGAGAGGTGTGTTCTTCCCTTTCATAGCTGGTAGCAGTGAACAGAAGCATGCTGTAGCCAGTGTTGTTCAGAATGAGGTGTCACCTCCGCTTTTCTCTTGTTCTCTGTCCAGTTGGTCACCTCTTGGTCCCTCGGTTCTCCAGTGCTGCCGCAGCCCAGCACACTTCTTTGCCTCTTGCTCCATCTCCTTGGTCAGCCTCCCAGTCTCTTACCCTCTTCCCTCCTATCTCAGAAGGTAGAAAAGAAAAACACAGCTGCCGGGCGGTGGTGGCTCACGTCTTTAATCCCAGCACTCGGGAGACAGAGGCAGGCGGATCTCTGTGAGTTCGAGACCAGCCTGGTCTACAGCGCTAGTTCCAGGACAGGCTCCAAAGCCACAGAGAAACCCTGTCTCGAAAAACCAAAAAGAAAAAGAAAAGCACAGCTGTTGTGCACGCCTCTTCGCTCACTACAGACTCATCTACAAATAAAGCATTCTTTTAATTATCCTGATGCAAATCAGTCAGGGGGCGGTTAGCACTCAGTCAGTTAAGTGCTTGTTCTATAAACACAAGGACCTGAGTTCAAATCAGTCAAGGCGCGGTTAGCACTCAGTCAGTTAAGTGCTTGTTCTATAAACACAAGGACCTGAGTTCATTTGCCAGCAGCTATATGAAAAACAGACATGGCGACACATGCCTGAAACACCAGTGCTCTGGAAACAGAAACAGAAGGATCCCTGGAGCTCACTGGTCAGACAGATCCACTGAATCGGCAATGGCAGACCCTGTCTCAAAAAATAAGGTGGAAAAGTGATAGAGGAAGACAACAGGCTTCAATCTGTAGCCTTTGCAAGCACTGAAACACACATACACCAACACGCACCCATATACACTAACACACATGCACCCATACACACACTAACACACACACTAAAGCACATGAACACGCTAACACAAAAAAGTCGTTGACTATTATAGTACACAATACAAAAAAATTTAGTAAAACAAAATACAAAATATATCAGTAAAATATCGCTATCCATTAGTTCAACCCACAACTCAAAATGCATTTAGTTTTAGACAAAATTCTGCTTTGACCCAGAAAGAAATATAGCATCAAAAATCTGTGCATCCGGTACATTCAGCAAATGTCGCAGAGATAGACATCTATGCCCATTCTCCCCTCTACACTTGGAAGCTTACAGGAGAAATGCAGACCCTAAAGCAAGCTACCAACAATGGTGGTTTTCTCCCACTAGCCTGATTGTATGTATTTCTTTATCCCATGTATATATTCTATCCATTTTAAACTCTACCATGGCACACAAAAGGTAAAAATTATTTAAAGGAGATTGCAACACTTGAAAGCATAGGATGCTCATAATGGCTTTGACATTACTTAAGTAATAAACCTTAGTGCAATTTTTCTAGATTCTTGTTCAAGAAAGTAAAAGTTTAATCTGACAGCTATCGATGTGACTTTGCTCAAAGTAACATGCTGGTTTTATTTAAAAAAAAAAAAGTGTGTTTTGTCACATAGATTCACGCTGTTGCCCCAAAAACTGCAGATAATTTCATGTAGACCTAAGCTTCCGATACAAAGTCATTGTTTCTATGTTGGTGTGCATTAATTATTAAGCTGAAAGGAAAGTCCTTCCCTATACTTTAATTTTTCTGGCTATTGATGTTTGTGCATTGGGAAAATGCTCTTTTCTGTAAATCTGTTAAAGCAGCATTCACCAAAACTTTTACACCTTCACACCAATGGCAGCTTTGGGTGCCAGGTGTAGTCTGCACAGACCTGCTGGACTATTGGACTTGGCCAGTCTCTGGCTGCTCTCTCACGCCCTGACACAACCCCGCTACAGTATTAAAGGGAATGCCACTCTCTGCTTATACCAGCAGTTGTGGGGAGGCGGGAGCGCCTCTCAGCCCCGCTACAGTATTAAGGGGAATGCCGCTCGCTGCTCATACCACTTTTCTACTTTACTGTTTAGATTTATGGAAAACTTACAAACTGAAGTTCAAGAAATGGAATTCCTTCAGTTTTCTAAGGGTCTGAACTTCATGAGGAAGGAAGATTTTGCAGAGTGGCTCCTTTTCTTCACTAACACTGAAAATAAAGACATCTACTGGAAAAACGTGAAAGAAAAGTTGTCGGTAGGAGAGGTCGGTATACCTTCTCTTTACACATTTGAGAGACTTGAAACAGACCAGAAATTTCATGGGACATAGTGACTTGTAACTGAACTGATGCAGCCAGGTCAAGGACACTTCCCTAGTACTAGCTCTCTGTCATGAGCTGCCTCCCACACAGCACAGCCCCTGTGAGGCTGCAGCTCCACCGTGGGACAAGGCTCTACCCAGCGCTGAGTGCTGCTCTGGAGAGCTTAGCCAGAGGAAATAAGCAAGGCTGTTTGGGAAGAAGACCGTGGTTGTCTCTGTTTACAGAGGATTTGACTATGTACCCAGCGAGCCCAACAGAGCCCCCTTGAAAACCATCAGGAAAAAAATTGAATTCAGTGAAATGCTGCTGTGTCATTAGCATATTAGAAGTAGATGTCCCGTGGACACATTTTCACAGGAAATGTGATTTGTGTGTGAGCTTCAAAGTGGTGATCACCAGACTCGCAGTCGTGGTGATCTTTCTGTTGCTGTGACACCGTCACTAAGGCGATTACAGAAGGCAACATTTAACTTTGGCTTACAGGTGCAGGCTTAGATGTCACGGCAACAAAGCAAAGGCATGGTGGCAGGGACAGCTGAGCCCTCAGGTCGTAATCCACAAGTTGGAGGCAGAGAGAGGGAGAGAGAAACAGACTGGGAATGAATGACACAAGTCTTTTGAAACTTCAAAGTGTCACATACTTCCTCCAACAAGGCCACACCTCCTAACTCTGCTCACACAGTTCTGCCAACTGGGGACCAGGTAGGCGAGCATGAGCTGGGAGCCATGGGTGCCCTTCTCATTCAACTGTCTGTCCTGTAGTGAGATTTCAGGGGACTGTTTGGTTTTTTTTTTATTTTTTATTATTATTTATTTACATGTACATGTGTATATTTCTATATTTATGTGTATATCTGAGGTTGGGGCCATCCCCTGGAGCTGGAGTAACAAGCAGTTGTAAGCTGCCTGATGTGGGTGCTGGGAATTGAACTCAGGTCCTCTGCAAGAACAAAACATGCTTCCACCCTCTGTGCCATCTCTGCAGCCCGCTAGTTTTCTTTTTGTTTGAACCAGGGCCTTGCCATGTTGCATGGACTGATCTTAACCTTGAAAGCTCAAGTGGTCTTTCACCTCAGCTTCCCTAGGAGCTACACCACAGGTGTGTGTCACTGCGATTTTTTTCCCTTTGTCATTTTATGTAAGCAAAATGTTTTTAGAGTGAGCAAGTATTTTTTTTTTTTTTTGATTTTTCGAGACAGGGTTTCTCCGTAGCTTTTGGTTCCTGTCCTGGAACTAGCTCTTGTAGACCAGGCTGGCCTCGAACTCACAGAGATCCGCCTGCCTCTGCCTCCCGAGTGCTGGGATTAAAGGCGTGCGCCACCACCGCCCGGCTGTGAGCAAGTATTTTTGTATAAGATCTTAAGAACTATTTCTGTTTTTTAAATTATGAACCCCTTTCTCTCTCTCTCTCTTTTTTTTTTTTGTTGTTGTTGTTCTTGTGTTGTTTTGTTTTTTGTTTTCCGAGACAGGGTTTCTCTGTGGCTTTGGAGCCTGTCCTGGAACTAGCTCTTGTAGACCAGGCTGGTCTCGAACTCACAGAGATCCACCTGCCTCTGCCTCCCAAGTGCTGGGATTAAAGGTGTGCACCACCACTGCCCAGCTTCTCTCTTTTTTTCTAATGTGTATCCATCCATGTTAGTGCATGTGTGTGTACGTGTAAATCACATGTGTACAAATGCTCACAGAGGCCAGGAGGTGTCAGATCCCTTGGAACTAGAGTTACAGGAGATTGCACCCCACTCTGTGTAAGTGTTGAGAATGGAATTCCTGTCCTGTGCAAGAACAGCTGATATTAGTAACTGTTGGGCCATCTCTCCAGCCTTTAAAAGCGATTTCTAGCAAAAGGGAAAAGATAAAGTATGAGTGATCCAGCCAGGGATGGCAGTGCACACCTTTAATTCCAGCGCTCGGGAGGCAGAAGCGGGCAGATCTCTGAGTTCCAGACCAGCCTGGGTTACAAACTGAGTTCCAGGACAGCCAGAGCTACACAGAAAAACCGTGTCATTAAAAAAGGAAAAGAAAAAAAAAAAAAACAAATACGAGTTATCCTTTTCCTCCTCTCATAATGTTGTCCAGTAGGCCTTGAATTTGTAATTCCCCTGCCTCAGCCTCCTGTGTGCCACCATGGTCAGACAGGCAATACAATTGATAATTGAAGTGGAAATACATAATTACAAGTGCATTTAATTTTTAAAATGAAGAAATGTTTATAATGATGGTGCATGCCTCTAGTCCCAGGACTCCAGAGGCCAAGGCAGATAGATCTTGAGTTTGAGATCAGCCTGGTTTATAAGGGAGTTCCAGGACAGTCAGGGTTAGGAAGAGAAACCCTGTCTCAAGAAAACAAAAAATTGTAAATTTTTTTAAAAGGAAGGAAATGTTTACAACCCTGATTAGATACAAAGGAAACATCTAATTTTAGAGCTGCCCTTAGTATTGACTAGGAGATTAAAATGTTTACATGGTCAGGTTGGCAGGCAAAGCTAATGAGCACATGGTGGTCTCTTCTCAAACCCCAGGAGGATCTGAGAACTTAAAGATCAGACTGTCAGCTAGTAGAGAGTACCTGAAATGCTTATGTTTCTACACTACCCTGCACAACGGAGTGGGTGCTCACAGAAGATTCAAGATTATTGGGTCAAAGACAAGAAAAACAAAAAAAATGTTACTCATAGCAAAAGCGTGAACATCCTGTTTGTGCTGGTTTCCCCTTGCCACCCAAGGCCAGTAACAGTGATTCTGAGAATCCCTGGGAAGCTGCTGTGTGAAAAATCATACACAGCCAAACAAATCAGTCCTTCCCACCAGGCAAGAAGCGTTTTCCTGACCTTTGCTGCAGGAGGCCTTGTTTTCATTATCCTGGCAGCAAGCCAAGTAGCCCTCTGTCTGAGGAAACTTGTGGGTAGGGCCACTCCTGGGCTGTGGATCTGGGTTCTATAAGAAAGCAGGCTGAACAAGCCATAAGAAGCAAGCCAGTAAGCATCACCCCTCCATGGCCTCTGCACCAGCTCCTTCCCCCTGGTTCTTGCCTTGCTTGAGTTCCTATCCTGACCTCCTCTGATGGTGAACAGTGTGGAAGTGTAAGCCAAATAAGCCCTTTCCTCCCCAAGTTGCTTTGGTCATGGCATTTCATCACAGCAATGATAACCCTCACCAGGACAGGACATAAAGTCACAAGAAGAGAAATCACAAATGAACAGTGTGAGATGCACAGGTTCAGGTGGTAAAGACGCCGTTCCCACCTGTAGAAAAGCCTAGCATGCACAAGGTCCCGAGTTCACACCTCAGCATGCTGGAAAGAGAAGTGGGCATTGGAATGGCTGCACTCTATGCCTGTTTTAAGATCATGATGCGATAGACAGAGAAATGATACTTGATCCACACTGTGCTGACAAATTCACTGTGGGGAAAAGGAAAGTGGAGTGCAGAAATGTGCAGAGAGGGTGTTCCGAGTCCGACGGCAGTTTGTGTATGTGGGTGCACAGCTGCTTTTGTATAAGCTGTGTATTTCTGGAAGCACACAGGTGCTGCCCATGCCTTTGCAGTGAGGTCAGAAGAGGGATCGGAGGAAGAAGGAAGGCTTGTTGCCCTTCACACTGCTGGCATTTTTTTCACCTTGGTCATATATTCTTTATAGTTCTTTTGTTGGGACTGGAGAGAAGGCTCGGGTTAAGAACACCGCTGCTCTTGCATAAGACCCAGTTTGATTCCAGCACCCACATGGTGGCTCACAACTGTCTGTAACTTCATCCGGGGGATCTAATGCCCCTTCTGGCCAACTCCATGGGCACAGGCATGCAAGTGGTACACAGACAACACCCGTATGAAAAATAATAAATTTTTTTAATTTGTTGCAGTTTTACAACTTGGATTGCTCCACAAAGGCTGAAAGCAGTGGTACTTGAGCAGACCACATGTGGACAGAGGGCAGGTCCTAAAAGGCCCTGGAGAATAAGAATTTTCTGTCAGAACTTCCACTGGTCCAGCTGGCATGTCCCTGTAACCCAGCTACTCTGGAGATCAAGGCAATAGGGATACTAAGTTTGAGATCAGCTGCTCTGGAGATCAAGGCAATAGGGACACTTAAGTTTGAGATGGACTCAGGCAGCATCAGTTGAAGGAAGAGAATTTTCTAATTTCTTTTTAAGATTTATTAATTTTATGTGAGTACTCCACCTGTATATATGACTTTATGCCAGAAGAGGTCATCAGATCCCACTATAGATGGTTGTGAGTCACCATGTGGTTGCTGGGAAGTGAACTCAGGACCTCTAGAAGAGCAGCCAGTGCTCATAACTGCTGAGCCATCTCCGGCCCCTCTCCAAGTTCTTTTTACTGGTAAAGGTAGCTTTTAAACTTAGGTTTTGTTTATTCTTAAGTACGTAGATACTGAATCAGATAGACCAAGGTTCAAATCTCAGTTCTACTCCATAGACCTTGGTCAAAGGAACCTAAGAGTTGCCTGCCTGAGGTTTAGGCAAAGATAATACACATCTTAGATGGCAGAGCTGAAGTTTCAGCATCGGCCACCTTGTCCAGTGCCCTGTACACTGGTTAAGTAGGAGTGGCCCATTGAACAGGGTGTTAGTAGTCTCCTTGGCTGTAGTCATAAAGTACAGAAAAACCTATCTTCTCTCTGTTCTGGAGATGTGAAATCTAAGATCAAAGTGCCAGCAAGGCTGGGTTTAAACTGCTCTTTGCTGTCTGTCCTCTGTGTCCTCGGATGGTTGCGGCTCTGTGGGGTGTGTGCATGTACACAGGGAGAAAGGGAACAAGAGCAGCAATGAGTATACATACTTACGTTAGTGTGTATATTCCCGTGGACATCAGACTAACAGGACTGCAACCCTCCCAGGACCTCACTTTACCTCTGCAGCCTCCTTCAAAATGAGAATCAGGAGAGAAGCTAGGACTGGTCCAAGAGTGCCCCGTCCACACAGCCACCGGCAGCCTTGCTCTCATGGACCTCCTGCAGTTCTAGAATCTAGTGTTCTGTTCTTCTGCTGGGAGGCTGGGAGGGGGTTGCTTTAGGTTTTGTTTTTTGTTGTTGTTTTGTTTTGTTTTCTTGTTTTTCAAGACAGGATTTCTCTGGCTGTCCTGGAACTTACTCTGTAGACCAGGCTAGCCTCAACCTCACAGAGATCCACCTGCCTCTACCTCTGTATTCCACTCTGTTCTGTGTCTTTAGCATTTTATCAACTTGCTTAGAAAGATCTAAGTTCATAAGCTTTAGGATAGAAGACTTAACATCAATAAGATTGCAATGTATAGTGGGGTGGTGGTGGCACACGCCTTTAGAGGCGGATCTCTGTGAGTTTGAGGCCACCCTGGTCTACAAGAGCTAATTCCAGGACAGCTAGGGCTGTTACACAGAGAAACCCTGTCTCGAAAAACTAAAAAAGAAAGAAAAAAATATTTCAATGTATATGTAAAATTATAATTAAAAAATCTTTTATTTTATTAGAGCATTAGTTTGGATGAGTTCAAGTCATTTTGCCATTTTACAACGCATTTGGAAGACTTTGCTATCGCCATGCAAATGTTTAGCTTAGCTCATCGCCCCGTGAGACTGGGTAAGATACAGATCATTTCATTTTTATTGTCTGTAGGCAGCTTCACTATCGAGTAGATGATACCGATGAGGGGGTGACTAGCAGTAAGATAATGTTATTCTCCGTTCATCCACCCGCAGGCTTACTCAGGAAACACTTTATCTGCTTTTGCTTTCTTATTCTCCCGAAGGGGAAGAACATGGAATTAAATATGTTACTAGGAACCTTGATTACCTTGAAATGCCCTGCTTTACCCTCATGACATTTCTCAACCAAACGCATGATTTGAATACTCTCGTGATTTGTGTACACTTGTGATTTGAATACACTCGTGATTTGAATGCTCTTCTCAAATAATGGGAAACTGTGGATTAAATCCACTTAGACTAATTTACCTGTTGATCGGCAGTTTCTTGCTGTGCTTTTCAGCGGAGTTTAAGAGAGCTGTGAAAGTAGCCACTGGACAGGAGCTCTCAAACAATATCTTGGACACCGTCTTCAAGATCTTTGACTTGGACGGCGATGAGTGCCTCAGCCATGGGGAGTTTCTTGGAGTATTAAAAAACAGGATGCATCGAGGTTTATGGGTAACAGATTTTAGTTTGTTTATTTTTTGTTTTTTTTAAATCTATGTTTTTACATGTTAGTAACAATGGTATTAAACCTAAAATTTAGAGCAAATGAAATATGTTAAATGGAATCTTTATCATTTATACAGAAACTAAACTACAACCAAACCCTGAACTGTCTTTCACAAGAATGATATTTACCATTTTCCTTGCTTTAAAAATAACCTGAGTCTGGGGAAATGGTTCCATTAGTTAGGCCCTGAGTTTGGTCCCCAGAACCAGGTAAATGCCAGGCACAGTGACATGTACTTAAAATCCCACTTCTGGAGAGACAGAGATAGGTGGGTCTGTGGGTTTTGCCAGCTAGCCAGACTAGCCTCCTTTTTGAGCTTCAGGCCAGTGAATGACACCCAAGGCTGTCCTCGGACCTCTGTCATTGTACATACTTATACACACGCATGCACACACACTTGGACATGCACACTTGTATATTGAATGTACACATACTCACATACATCTGAATCTAATTTCAGAAATCACAGCTTAGTATCTAACTTTGAGTCTGACTTTGGATCTGACCTTAGATCTGACTTTGGAACTGACCTTGGACTCATTAGGTTCAAATCCTGCCCTGTCATGTATCAACTGATGAATCTTTTTTGTTTTTTGTTTTTTTGAGACAGGGTTTCTCTGTGTAGCTTTGGAGCCTGTCCTGGCACTCACTCTGTAGACCAGGCTGCCCTCGAACTCACAGAGATCCGCCTGCCTCTGCCTCCCGAGTGCTGGGATTAAAGGTGTGTGCCACAGCCACGCAGCTAACTGATGAATCTTGAGGAGCCACTTAGTTTGTTCCTCAGATACCCCATCTGTACATTTACCAACAGTGCCTATGCAGGGCGCTAACTGTGAAGCACGCAGAACCTCAGTACATGTCGTGGCTGCTCGTAGTCACATGCTGGGCTCTGAGTGGGCGACAGAGAAAGCCCAGAGTTTTGTTTGCATTAGGATCTACTAGAAGTACTCTCATGAAATAAATTTGTGTCAGAATAACTTGGCTTTACGCATCTGCACAGACAGTAAGTAGATAGTTAGGAAGAGAGCCAGGAAAAAGGGATGGTCAAGAACTGATGCTTGTGTTCCTAACATAAGATTATTCATTTACAATTAGAAAAGGATCCTGATTCCCACAGCACATGTTATCTCAGAGAAATTAATAAATATGGGTTTCATTACATGCATTTGGCAACATAACCCACCCTCAGCTTTCTTTAGAGAAGTATGGGAAGGCAATAAGCAGGGCCACGAGACATGATCCCAGTGACTGACCTATCTCTCGGGTGACAGGTGTCGCAGCAGCAGAGTGTGCAAGAGTACTGGAAGTGCGTGAAGAAGGAGAGCATTAAGGGAGTCAAGGAAGCCTGGAAACAAGCTTTTTAAGAAAAAGATGTGTAGCAATTACATTGCTTGAAGTGCCAGAATTTGTGACATTTTTTTCAAAGAATTAATTTTCTCTAAATCTTTATTGAGTTGTGTTGTAATGTAAAAATGCCATGTACTCATTTTCTGGTTCAGGGATTGAGGCGGGGGGCAGGGGGTAAAATGTATGCTACAGTGCGCATGTGGAAGTCAGAGTCTAGCCTGTGGGAGTCAGTTCTCTCCTACTATGGGAGTCCCAGAGATTGAACTTGGGTCATGAGCTTTGACATCAAGTGCTCTTACCTAATAAGCCCTCTAGCCAGCTCTGACTCAGTAATTGCTTGGTAAATTTTCATTAAAGAATATAATAAAAAGAACAGAAAGTATTCCTTTACAGAAACACACACTACATTGTCAGAGGCCTGTATGCAGAGTGATGCTTTGGTAAGCTGGAGGCCGAGACCTGTAATAAGAGCGGTGGGCTTCGTTCTTGCCTGGCTCCTGGCAGCCTGGCTAGCCTATACCCCAAAATAATTACATGGGAACTATATTCTTTTAAACACTGCCTTGGCCCATTAGCTCTAGCCTCTTACTGGCTAATTTTCATATCTTGATTAACCCATTTTTAATAATGTGTGTAGCACCATGAGGTGGTAGCTTACCAGGAAGGATCTTAACCTGTGTCCATCTTGGAGAGGAGAGCTATAGTGTCTGCCTGAATCTGCTTTTTTTCTCCCAGCATTTTGTTCTGTCTACTCTGCCTATCAAGCTGCTGTCCTATCAAAGGCCAAAGCAGTTTCTTTATTAACCAATGAAATTAACATATAGACACATGACCCTCCTCCATCAGAGGCCGTCACTGAGCCCTTGGACATGAGAACGAGAGGTGCTTTCTAAAAGACTAAGCAAGTGCCACCTGTGACAAGTCTCACTCCAGGCTTCCCTCACCATATCCTGTCCTGTGTGCCTATTCCCTCTCTGTGTCCTGTCCTGTGTGACTGTTCCCTCTCTGTATCCTGTCCTGTGTGACTGTTCCCTGTCTGTTTCCTGTCCTGTGTGACTGTTCCCTCGCCATATCCTGTCCTGTGTGACTGTTCCCTCACTGTGTGTTCTCTGCCTTGAAAATAACCTGAGAGTGACGGTGGCTTGTCTGGAAGGATAAAGTATTGACAGTGATACAGGAAAAATAGGCTTTCTTCTAAATTTTCTATACTTTTGAGATATAAATACAGTACCCTCTCTCCCAAACACATAGGTTTGGGGGCTCATCCTGCAAAGGACACAGCTGAGTACCACACTTTCTTAACAACACACAGAATGATCATAAGATCAAGGTCTCATAAAGGAAGATATATTGGGCTACGGGAAACATGCAAGATGGCACTATAAAGTAGTTGGCAGTAAAATAAATATGAAATAATGTTACGGGGAAATGTATGTATATGTTTATGTATGTGTGTACAGGTGGGCATATATATGTATGTGGAAGCCCCTACTCCTAAAAGTAGCCCCTTACCCATGTCCCAGAAGTAACCCCAATAAACTCATTAGTTCACCAAGCTAGACTTGGATGATACTATTACTTTGGTCTGTTGTGTTTTTTTGAGATTTCCTTATTCTGTGTGTATAAGCATTGTACTTACTGTGTGCACCTTGTATGTACCTGTGGATGTTGTAAGCCACCATGTGGATGCTGGGAACCAAAACCCAGGTTCTTTACAAGAACACAAGTGCTTTAACCCTTTGGCCATCTCTCTAGTACCCTGTCCTTTATCTGGTGTTACCGCAACATGAAAATCATAAAATGTTAGGAGATTTTTGTGGGCTTATAGTTTGGCACTTGGATTATTTTGAGACAGAGTCTTGCTATGTTACCCTGCCTGTCTTAGACCTTGATATGTAGTCCAGGATGTCCCTAAATTCAGAGACTTACCTGCCTCTGCCTCCTGCATTGTGGGACTAAAGGACATAATGACAATGATGTGTTGCAGTACAAAACATTGTATACACCTGCAAGACCAGTTGACTACATTAGAGACGTCAGGTGCTTTTCAGCAGGGCACCCAGAACATTACATAAAAGAAGGGGCTTGTTTTCAACAGTGTGGTAGGAAAATCCCGTGTCCACATACACCTGTCATCTTCCAAGCTCATGGCAGCTCAGTGAGCTCTAAGCACTGAATTGTATTCTAGCCCAAAATGCCAGATCCCTTTCACAGTCCTCCCAAAAACAACATGGTCAGGTCTACAGAGCAACCCCCCATGATCCTGGTACCAATTTTTCTAATTTGTTTTCTGTTGCTATGACAAACAGCATGACTGAGATCAACATAGGGAAGAAAGCATTTATTTCAGCTCACCTGTCCTACAGTCCACCATGAGGGAGGGCAGGGCAGGGACCTGGAGGCAGGAACTGATCCAGTGGCCGTGGAGGATGCTGCCTACTCAACTGCCCTTCATGACTTCCTCAGTCTGCTTTCTTATCCCACCTGCCCAAGGGTGGCACTACTCCCAATGGGCTGGGCTTTCCCACATTGATAATTAAGAAAATGCCTCCTACAGAATTGCCTACTGACCAATCTTATGACAGCATTTTCTCAATTTAAAAAAAAAAAGCACGCACTCCTAGGAATTCAAATAAACATTTACATCTGGTAAATCATTGTATCATTATACATTTAGGCAATATATGTAAACACTAGTGTCCATCAAAAGATGAGTAGAAACACAAATTATGGTATACATAGAGTACAACATTGCTGCACTGTAGTAAGGAGGCCACTTGGTTCCTGGCTGCTCAGCCCAGAAATAATCACACAGAAACTGTATTAATTAAATCACTGTTTGACTCTAGCTTCTTATTGGCTAGCTCTTACATATTAATTTAACCCATTTCCATTCATCTGTGTATAGCCACAAGGATGTGGCTCACCTGGTAAAGTTCTGACATCTGTCTTCAGTGGGGCTACATGGCTTCTCCCGACTCTGCCTTCCTTCTCCCAGCATTCAGTTTAGTTTTCCCCACCTACCTAAGTTCTGCCCTATCAACAGGCCAAGGCAGTTTCTTTATTCACCAATGGTATTCACAGCATACAGAGATGAATCCCACATCACGCCACTCCGCCATATAAAGGGATGAGATTCTGGTACATAGTACACCACAGATGGATCTTGAAAAGATCACATACACAAAATGAAAGCCAGCAGAAAGGACTCATGTACAGTGGTCATCTATCTAGAACTAAGAGTGAAGTGGGCGGTGGGTGGTCACCTGTAGTTAAAGAATATAAGAGTTTATGAAAAATTTTGTGAACATGTATTAATGATGGGTGCACAACAGTAGGGCTGATATCACTGAGTCAAACATTTGTAAATGATGAAAGTTTCCATTTTTGTATGTTATATATTTTATCACAATTTTTAGATTTGCAGTGTAATATAGCAAAACCCACTAAATGTGTACTTGAAATGAGTGAACTGCCAAGCATGTGCATTATGCCTTAATACAGCTGTTCTTTTGTTTTACATAAACAAGATTAATCAATAGATTCAGTATTTGGAAATAGCAAGGAAAAACAAAGGATTGGAACTGGAATTCTCATCTTTATCTTCCTAATTTTTTCCCACAACCACCAGTAATTTTCAAAAAAAAAATACATGTATTGGGAGAGGTGGCGTGCGTGTGATGTGGGATGCATGTGGAGGTCAGAAGACAACTTGATGGCTGTCCTCCACCATGTGGGTCCTAGGGATCAGCTCACATCTTCAGTCTTGTCAGCATTGCCTTTCATCCTGAGCCATCTGGCTGGCAGCACTGCCATCTTTAATGGATATTTATAATGTCGACTTATTACTCAGATACTTACCCCAATAATAAATACCTGAAGTAATCAATTTGTAAAAAGAGAAAGGTCTTTTGGCTCATGGATTTAGAATTCCCAGTCCATGATCAGGTATGGACCCAACGCTTACAGGTTTCTGTTGGGATCCAAGGTGGCAGTGATGGGAAGTACATGGTAGGAGAAGGACACTTACTCTTGGCCAGAAAGAGGAAGCAAGCAACAAAGGTCTTGTTTCCCTAAAGGACATATTCTCGATGACTCAAAGCCCTCCCTCACTAGGCCCTTTTAAAGGCTTCACTGCATCCCACAGCACCAAGATGATGAGCAAACCTTTGAAAATGTGGATCTGTGGAATTAAAACTTGCACCACAGGTTTATCTTTCAAGATAAAGCTCTAACACACATGAATTGTAAAAAATAAAATAACATGTAACCAGGAATTCATGCGCAGCTGTCTTGGAAGAGTGCCCCCAAATAAATTCACATTTCTGGAACACCATTGAGCCAGTGCCCTCTAGAATACCTAACAACTCAGCAGAAAAACAAGGGAAGAAACTGGGCATGGTTGGTTGCGCTGTAATCCCAAATATCTGGGAGTCCAAGGATAGGATCACCTGAGTTCAGGTTTTGAGGCAAACCTGGGCAAGAGTGAGATATGTCAGAAAGGAAGGGGGGGTGCTGTGGCATAAAGAATGTTCTTATACACTATAAAGATTTGTCACTCATATTGATTTAATAAAATGCTGATTGGCCAGTAGCCAGGCTGGAAGTATAGGCAGGGCAACCAGACTGGGAGAATTCTGAGAAGAGGAAAGGCAGAGAGTCAGTTGCCACCCAGACACAGAGGAAACAAAATGACAATGCCTTACTGAGAAAAGGTACCATGACACATGACTAAACATAGATTAAAAGTTATGGGCTAGGGGGCTGGAGAGATGGCTCAGTGGTTAAGAGCATTGCCTGCTCTTCCAAAGGTCCTGAATTCAATTCCCGGCAACCACATGGTGGCTCACAACCATCTGGAATGAGGTCTGGTGCCCTCTTCTGGCCTGCAGACATACACACAGACAGAATATTGTATACATAATAAATAAATAAATTTTAAAAAAGTTATGGGCTAATTTAAGTTGTAAGCGCTAGTTAGTAATAAGCCTGAGCAATAGGCCAATCAGTTTATAATTAATATAAGCCTGTGTGTTTATTTGGGACTGAATGTCTATGAAACCTGGAGGGACAGAAACTTCCTTCTACAGAGCGGGAGAGAACAGCTGGAGGAGCAGGAATAAAGGGGGTAGAAATGGGGGAGAGGATAAAGGAGGGGAGGGAGAAAAAAGAGAGGAGAAGAAAGTTAACAGCAGCCGATCTCTGTTCACTGTGAAAGGTGAGAACACACAGATTGCTCTGTGCTCATTAGTTAGCCGAACACAAATTAAGAGAAGATACTAATCCATACTTATCAGATTGGCAGAAATGTGACCCTGCAAAGGTTATCATGAATTCAGGAAACAAGATCCCTGTGTCTGCTGGCTATAGGCAGTCTTAAGGAAACCTAGAAGGAACCTACCTCCTGGACAGATGTGCAGGAGGGTGGCTCCAAGGGCCTTCCTGCCAAGACTGCCTCCGCCAGTGTCCACCACTAAGGAAATGCAGAAATAAAATGAACCATGGAAAACGAGCATGGTGAGAACTGTGGCCTGAAACAGCAGGGAATGTGTCTGATATAATAAGCTTACGTCATGGGAAGCGAGGC